TAGCCATATAGATCGTTAGCTTAGAAGTAAAACACTTCAGTAAACAAGCAACCCGCTTTGATACCAATTGATGTGGCTAGCAAGGATCACCTAGAGGGGGGTGAATAGGTGATCTTAAATAATTTTTATATATTTATGCGGAAATGAATAACATTACTGAAGAATTCAGATTCAGGACAGATTATATAAACGATGCTCTTGATGTGCAGAAAGTAAAGTAAAAGATAAGGAATAGAAAATCTGCACACAAGTTTATAGTGGTTCGGCTTATAGTAAGCCTACGTCCACTCTCCCATGCTGACAGCCTATCGGCTGGATTTCACTATTGAATCAATGAGGAATTACAGCTTTAGAGTAATAGCACTCTTGTGTATGATGGGACTCTCTATCTTACACAATCACCCTTACAATGTATCCCTCAAGATCTTAGTTTTGGCTCAGTAAGACAAGTAAAGAATGATCGGAGTATGCTCAGACTTTGGACTTGTTGATTCTTGATTCTGTTCTTCCTTCTGCTGCTCGTTGATCTCCTTAAATACTCCTCTAGTTCCACACTAGCCGTTGAACAGCTATTAGAGGATCATTTTCCAATCTTCACCTTGGATAGATTTGTATAATAAGGATTGAGTAGCCGTTGGATGACAAATTCTGAATCCCGCTGATTCTGTTCACCCATACAATCAGAATCTTGATTTCCATAAGTAGAGTTTTGTCCGTTGTAATGCATACTTGTCATAGTATTTGATTGTCAATCAGTTATAGCTTTAGATTGAAACAATCAAAACTTTCCTTCTGTGAAATCCATACCGAATCACTAGCTGTTATACTTGGTTCTGAATTCTGCGTCTGCATCTGAAGAAATTCTGCGTCTGCATCTGAAGAACTTCTGCGTCTGCGTCTGAAGAACTTCTGCGTCTGCGTCTGAATAATTTCTTCGTCTGCATCTGACTAATTTTGCGTCTGAATCTCAGAACTAGGATAATGTGGGTCTTCAATAAAATGTTTGACAACTTGTAAAGTCTGAATAACTTCCTTCAATAAATCAGTTCGGAATAAGTTTCAGATTTACAATAAATTGGAAGGTTTTGTCAATTTCAAAATCAATAGGAGTTTTTCTCAACAGCATCAAAATTGACTTTGCTAAAACATTAATAGTAGAAATATTTATATATTATCTTCGTCGCTTTTGTATTTTCTGGAAAATAATAGCCACCTCATTTACTCATGGTAGCATCAATTTTTTTTTGGTCAGAGATGGAAGCATAATTGAAATGCAACTATATTGTAGTAGCCAAAATCCCATAATTGCCTTTTGAAACGAAGAAGTCACCTTTTTTCCTATCACCACGGCCTTATGCAACCGCCAGGGTCGACCCAATTGCATAACACATACATGTTACCTGGATCAGTTTATTCGGGGTAACCTTAATCGAATTCGTGTCATAATTTGGTCAAGCAGTCTATACACAAGTAATAAGCATGTCGTGAACAGGTTGATGTCTTTTGACTTGTTAGTAACACAGGGAAAATTATCCAAAAAGTTATAAACCTATTGCATTTTTACCAATTCAATCATAAACCTTTTAGTTGTGCCAATTGAATCTATTTGGCCAAATTTGGTAAAAAATCGTTGACGTAGATTCTGGTCGTCCAATGTGGTATAGTCGGTGCTGACGTAGATTATTTTAAATAATATTTTAATTTTTTCTTTGAATTTTATTTTATTTTATTTTATTTTTTTCTTTTCCTTTCTTTGTTTTTATTTTACAACTTTGGCCGGTGAGGTCACCGGTCGACCATCGGCGGCCACAGGCGAAGGCCAGCGAGGGCCTTACGGCCCTAGTCAACCACTGGCGAGGGCCTCTGCGCCCTTGCCAGCTAGAGATGTACAGAAAAACAAATAAAAAAAGAAAAAAATATATAATTCGAAAAAATATTAAAAATTATTAAAGTCAGTGATTTCCAGCCAAAATTGGCTGGATGAAAAGGTTGACTCAATTGGCACAATTGAAATATTTAGGATCAAATTAGCAAAAGTGCAATATGTTTAGATTTTTTTTTGGGTAGTTTTCCCTAATAACACACTTAAACTAGACACGCTTAATTAAAAGGGTTAACAAATGTGTGAGTGGATTTGGACCTGTTTACATACATCTAAACACTTTTTTCACATTATTATATGTGAGAGCTGATATTATTCAACATATCTTGCTGTGTAACATGCTTAATGCCATGTTTGGATTTTAAAGTGGGGACTTCCGTCATGTTCAACTTGGACATGGATTTGATACAATACACTTTTGGCACAATTATGATTAGAAAACACTTATTATTAGCCCTGGCAACCGCCACCTTAAGCTTATGTTCTTTAAGCTTGTTTACCACTTCTGATAGTTCAGCATGTTGGAGTACTGGAATCTTGATCTGGTGTTCCAGTTTTTTTTTTTTTTTTGGCAAACTCTGTATTTTTTAGCTTAATACTTTTTCCCAATTAAGTAACCCAATAGAAAAATTGGTATATTCGGAATACCAAATAAGCTTTGATATCTGATTCAAACGAGAGTTGGTAATCCTGAAATAGTTGATAACTTAATCGAAAAAAAGTTAACAAACCACTTAAGCTCAAGTTAATTATTTCGTATAAGTGTTGATAAATGTAAGACGTAGTTAAGAAAAGTAAATGATAATTGGTAAAAGATAAGAAAAATTGTTTATTAAAAGAAAAATAGAGTTGGCAATATCTGAAAAGAGTTCAAATGGGTGTTGCTAAGAAATGCTAATAAAAATTTGTAAAAGATAAGAAAACTTAAAAAATTTAGGGATAAGTGCACTAGAAGTCTTAAAACTTGTTACGAAAGTGTAATTGATTTCTAAATCTATCAAAAAGTGTAATCAAGTCCTAAAATTTGTAACAGAGTGTAATCGAGTCCTAAAACTTTCAAAAAGTGCAATCAAATCATAAAATTTATCACGAACGTGCAATCAAGTTTTAAAATTTTCAAAAAATGCAATAAATGAAATGACTTGTTTGGACCAAATTTGATAAGTTTTAAGACTTAATTACACTTTTTTAAAGTTTTAAGACTCAATTACACTTCGTGATAAGTTTTAAGATTTAATTGCACTTTTTGAAAGTTTTAGGACTCAATGGCACTTTTGCGACAAGTTTTAGGACTTCTAATGCACTTATCCCAAAAATTTATAACAAAAAAACAAATATTTCTCAGTGAGTAAATGAGAGCAGACCTAATACTATGTGGTAATGTAATGGAAAAAATTTGGCGAGTCATGCTAATTTAGATTGGTAATCACTACAAAGAGCTAGTATGTAAAGAATTGCTAAACATGGTAAATAAAAGTAGATAAATTAATAAAAAAAATTGGTAAATTAAAAAAAGTAATGAGATTTGAAGCATCTGTTTCATTTTCAAAATTTTCAATGTTATTGTTTTAAGTTCAAGGAGAATCCCTTCTTGAAGGGCCCCAAATTACGAGCAAATCCAGAGAGGAAGTACCATAAGAAATGATTTTCTCACCCAGCTTTGAGAGTAAGAGTTCGTAACACATTCCCCAAAAAAGACCTCAGATGTGAAATGTCATACAGAAAGAACAATCTAATCACGGAGAAAAGAAGTTAAAAAAGATTTCAAATTCCGGTTTTTTATGTCGTACCTTGCTCAGTTGTAAATAAAAATAAAATATGATAGAGCCGCACTTACAGCAAGTAAATTGTTATGTTTGTGTTCCCACGAGGCTCCTCACGGGGTTTAGGTTCTTCCAAAGTTTCCTTCTTGATATCTGTATCTATGACACTGCGAATAAGCTTCTAAGCTTTCTATTTGAAAGTCAATGCATTCTTCACAATATGTGCGGGCATCAAAGCATATCTGGTTTTCACATGGATCTTGTACTTCTAGTAAGCTAAAGACTGCTGGCTTAGCTTTCATCCGCATTGTGCACTCATGTCATCTTCGTCAGGCAACCGAAAATGCTATTTGACATCATGGTTCTGCACATACATTTTTGTCAATCTCATTATCAGATCATAGAGCGAGCTCAAATAGACCTGATGCCAAATGACAAAGCCAATCTGCAAGGGCCAAATTTAATGTCCAAAGAGATGATGAAAGTGCTCATTTATGAGATCCTCAAGAAAAATAGCACCTCAGCTTTACTTATTGATGCTTGGGAACGGTGAAACGGGCAGTTTAAATTCATAAGAAGTGAAGCTGCGTCAGGGAAGACTGGGTATGAACCTGAATCGTAGGTCGAAGAAATTCAATAAAAAATTTTCACCGGAACTTTGTTCAATATTTTACATAATGTGTCTAACATTAATTACCCCGCTGACATCGTTGGTTGTCTCCCTTAAAAGTTGAATCTAGCACCTGGAAGCACTGACAACCACTGGCAAGATTGTGGCTCGCATCGGCAATCGCCGGGAAGCATGCTCTTTCCTATCAAAATTTCTCGTATCAGGATGCGGCAACGCTTAAGCATGAATAAATAATCGGCACTCAATAAAATAGCGAGACATGTATTGGGAACACATCAGAGATCATCAGCACATAACAAGGGGGAGTTGGCAAATTTCTTCGGCATTCTAGGATCATAGAAGCTGTAGTTGGCTTCGCAAAACTTGACCCCTAGTCGAGCTTAAGCTCCTTTTTGCATCTTCCAATGTTCAAGCTCAGTCAAGCATACACCCTCAAGTCTCTGATAGACATCAAGACATCTCAAGATTGGGAGAGAACTTTTTCTTCATTTTTTTGGTAAATGCTTCGTGCCTTCCATGGTTTTAAAGGGGAAATGCTGTGTTATGGCAGCACAGTAGGGATGTTGCATTCGCTGTTACATTAGCACATAGAAGCTATCTCCATAGTCGGAGCCGAAGTTGGAAGCCCTACTTTTCCGTTGAGGATTTTCATCTACCTATCTACTCTATCAGCTAAACATTAGTTGCAACATCTCCACTAACAAGGCATATAATTGATTGGCAGGCACATTCAGAGGTCACGTTTGAGGGAATGGAGGTTATCTTCATCTACCTATCTACTCTATCAGCTAAACATTAGTTGCAACATCTCCACTAACGAGGCATATAATTGGTTGGCAGGCACAATCAGAGCTCACGTGGGAGGAAATGGTGTTAATATCTGGAAGTTACAGTACATTTGTATATTTCTTCACTACTCTTCCCCTCTCTACTAAACTTACATTCAGTTAGGAGTTTAAAATCTCTCTCTGCAGGTCAGGAAACTTGCCGAGCATTTATAAGTTGTAACTTAGTAAAGAATACTATAGCTTTCATGGTTCCTCAAAAGTGAAAACTCACGATCAACTGTGGTGATTGATAATTTGCACTTTGAAAAGGAAGATTCCCATAGCCACTTCTATTTTCACAGAAACGTTAACGATCCCTCGTAACTTCTGGAAACAACCTTTAAGTGGTTTTTGCATTTTACTGCTTTTACCATTTAGGATAGGCCTGTCATCGATGGTAATAAATGTGAACTTTATAGATGGCGGATGATTTTTTGTGCTGGTGTTTTGCGGAAGCAATGTGAAATGGGATCGTTCAAATTATGTTTGTGTTTCCTTCCTCATGCTGTGGGACTTACTTTTGTTCATCATAGATCTTTCTTCTTTAAGCAAGATTTCAAGAGAAACTCTTACTTGATTTATTATTGCAGGCAACCAGGAGATGGTCCCTGATAAAGTCAGTAGTTACCTTTCTGTGCCTCCTTTTCAGAAATCGAAAAAAAAACAGGGTATGTTAGTTAAGCATTTATGTGGCACCATCTTTCTTTTGTAATAGTAAGAAACGGGGTGTGTTAGTCCGTTTAAGCTTTTTGATGCTTAGTAAACCAGATTAGTTGTAACATTTTTGCATAATGGAGACAGGGGTTTTACGGTCCTGTCTTTAGCTTACATGGGATGCATGGAGTGAGCGTTGGAGGGACTTCATCTGTGGTTATCTTCATCTACCTATCTACTCTATCAGCTAAACATTAGTTGCAACATCTCCACTAACGAGGCATATAATTGATTGGCAGGCACAATCAGAGCTCACGTTTGAGGGAATGATGTTAATATCTGTAAGTTACAGTACATCTGTATATTTCTTCACTACTCTTCCCCTCTCTACTAAACTTACATTCAGTTAGGAGCTTAAAGAGAGTCAAGTATTACAAATAATTAGCTTATTGGACAGGAAAGTAAACGACTTGATAATGCACCGCGAGCATTTTTTTCTCTCCTTCTCCTTCATTGCCTAGAGATTTGAAGACTTCGGAATACTACTTTATCGCTCTTGCACATTGGTTAGGTTGCGGCAGGGTCTGTTAGAGAGGAACTCTTACCTTGGTCTAGGCTAAAATGCCCTAAATATAGGAAAAGCGCCTTGCTCCGGTACCGTTTTCTGGGTTATTTGGAAAGAAAGATAGGTGGGCTTTTAAGAATGAGGAAAGTTCTATAGGTGCTGAAAGGGATAGTTGGCTTTCCACCTTACTTTTTTGGCATAGAGGTGGCAGTTTTAAGATGCCGAGTCTTCATTGAATTGCTTAGATATTTCCTAATGCCTAGAGTGTAAATGGGAGGCCCACTTGGTGCTCTTGAATATACTTGCCAAATAAATTTAGAAATTTTGAAAATGCTCTCTTTAATTTGAATGTTGATATCGATATGATTTAAGGTAGGTCTTCAATACTAAATAATAATCAAATTTATACCAAAGAAAAATAAAATTGATACCCATATAGACATTAAGATTGTCTCTTGGATTAATAGGACATTAAATGATATTGCTAAGAGGAGGTCATTAAAATCTTTCTACGGGAATGGAGAAGGGATTTATTTTGATCACAGGAAACAAAATTTGAAGAGTTATCAGTTAATATTCTAGAAGGAATGGTGGGTGCCAAAACTTAGATCAGGGGACAAGATAAAAAGTTTTGCTATACCCTAGCTTAGAAGGGAGAAGGGGTAATATATTTTCATGAAATTTCAGAGATTATAGTGCAAATTTAATTGGTTTTTGTAAGCTTACTTTTGGCGGTTAATATGATAGTTGTGAAGTAATTACATTTGTTTATTCATTTCATACTAGGGAGTATGATAATGCATGTACCATTAAATAGATAAGGTTTCTAATTATCTTGTTTTCAACGATTGCTAATGTCGATAGCTCTTTAGATTTTCAAACTAGAAGGACTATGTGAAAATGAAGTGTAACTAGATTTATAAATTGACAAAGAAAAACTATAACCTTAATTAGGGATTTCATTACTTTGGTGATTGTTATCAAGATGGCTAAAGCACCATATAAGATATCAATCTTTTCTATAATGCAAAGAATGCATAATTGCTTTCTAGTAAACTTATACACTTGCGAACGCGTGATAAATAATTCTAAAGAGTTAGATACAACTACATAATTTTGTGAAATGAACAATTTGCAACTATGTATAACTAATAAATGGAAAAACTAAATAAAATTTAGATGGGCAGATTTAGCTTATTGACTACTATTATTAATTTTATTGAAATTAGGGTTAATACCACGAAAAATCCCAAACTGATATACCTGTGACAAATTTACTCAAAACTAATTTTTTTACCACAAAAAACCCCAAACTGGTATATCTGTGACAATTTTACTCTTTGTTAGTTTCCGTTAAATTTTAACGTCAAATTGCTGAGTCGGATGACACGTGGCAATTGACGGATGTACCGGTTTAGGGTTTTACTTCTCAGATTGTCATAGATTTATCAGTTTGCGATTTTCGTGGTATTAATCCAATTTAATGAAGGGTAAATTTATCACAAATGTACCGATTTTGGGTTTTTTGTGGTCAAAAAATTGGTTTTGAGTAAATTTATCACAAGTGTACTAGTTTAGGGCTTTTGGTGGTTAAAAATTAGTTTTTGGTAAATTTGTCATATGTGTACTAATTTGTGGTTTTTCGTGGTATTAACCCTTGAAATTAACACCCTAGATAAATTAGTGTAGGAACATTGTCCAAAGTACATTAATGGTGGCGCAAGTGGGAGTATTAATCTTTTTCTTTTTATACAAGAGTAGCCGGAGGGATAGGAGCTTTGGATGATATGAATCAACGATATAGCTCCATTCGATGTACTTTTACGTGTATAATAGATTCGATTTTTTTTATGTCAACAAAGATCATATCCAGCATGGCTCATTGGAGTGTAAATAGCTTGCTGTTTGGTGATTGTCGATTTAAACCACCACAATGCTGATCTGATAGTGATCTGTTCTTTTAATTATGCAAGCTAATGTCAGGTAATTATAAATCTCATGATGTATGTGATGGAGAGTGTCTATAGCTTTATGTTAAGTGGAGCAGCAATGCATCAAACTTATTTTTTTGATACAGCACTACCTCTAATTATATATGCTTATTATCATTGCCTACTCTGTATTTACCTGCCAAATGACCATCTAGGTCGATCGCAAAAGCATCTCTTGAAATGCAACTATACTCAAATAGCCCGAAGCCCATCATATTGTCCGGAAACATCAAAGTCGCCATTTTGCATCCCCATCACCATAGCCTTATGCAGCTGTCACCTTCAGCTTGTGTCTTATCAGCTTCTTTGCCACTTCTAATAGTTCAGCATATTGGAGGACTGGAATGGTTCTTCACTTTCTTTTTTTGTTTGGTGGATTCTGATGTTGAGCTGATTAAACAGAATTGTTGATCTTGTGGTGAATTCTTATAGTGGTCTCAATTCATTGCTTCCGAGACACTTTAATAGTTGTGATGCATGAATAATATTATCCAGTAAAGAATGCAATGGGTAAGAGGATTTATCTCTTAATACTGTGCACTTTGTTTGAGGAAGGATTGTTGGTATTAGAACTAATCAGAGTAAAAACCTCCAACAAATTACTATAGATGAAGATAGAAATAGCAGGATTGGAGAATCAATAGAGAAATGTTGTTTAAGCAATAAAATCACAAAGAGATGACATGCCAGACTAGAAACTCTCTCTGCAGGACAGGGAACTTGCAAAAGAGCATTTATAAGTTGTAACTCATAAAGAGTATTGTAGCTCTCATGGTTCCTGGAAAATGAAAATTTCTGATCGACTGTTGTGATCGATAGTTTGCACTTTGAGTAGTTTTACATAATTACTTCTATTTTCACACAAAACCTAAAGCATCCATCTTAACGTCTGGATACAATATTTAAAAGGTTTTCGCATTTTACTGCTTTTACCATTTATGATAGGCCCGTCAATCGATGTGTCAAAAATATTAACTTTCTTGATGGCTAATGATTTTCTGTGCTGGTGGAAACAGTGCAACATGGGTTTATTCAATTATGTTTGTGTTTTCTTCCTCTTTCTGTGCAATTAAATTAAATCTTATTTATTATAGATCTTGCACATTTAAATGAGATCTCAAAGAAAACTCTAACTGGATTTATCCCTGCAGGCGACTCGGAGATGGTCCCTGATAAGGCTGGTAGTAACCTTTCTGTGCTTCCTTTTCAGACTACGGAGGATAAGAAACAGGGTATGTTAGTCAGTTTAGGCTTGTTGATGCTTAGTAAGCCAGATTTACTAAGATTTTTCGATAATGGAGACATCAGGTTTACTGTTGTATCCTTAGCTTAGATGAGATTCATGGGATGAACGATTGTGTTGGATGAACTTCAGTAGAGGTTGTCTTCAACTACTTATCTATACTGTCAGCTGAACATTAGTTACATCATCTCAACTAACAAGGCATATGATTGATTGGCAGGCACATTCAAAACGCATGTTTCACAGAATGCCAGTATCTTCTGGAACTTACAGTACCTCTGTATATTTCCTCACCTCTCTTTTCCTCTCTACTAAAGTTACATTCTCCTAAACTTAAAGTACCTTTATAGGAGCTTGAAGACAGTCAAGCGTCGAAAATAATTAGCTTATTGGAGATGGATGTAAATGACGTACAAATTATTGGAATCCATGGGAGAGATGGCATTGGAAAGACTGCTCTTGCGAAGATCGTATATAACAAAATCTCCCTTCACTTTGACGGTTGCAGTTTTCTTGCGGAGATTGAAGAAACGATGCGGCATCCTGGTGGTGTTCAGTATCTTCAAACCAAGTTGATCTTTGATATTTTGAAAAGAGAGTATGAGGTTGCTTCTGCTTTCAAAGGACTAAGATTTTTGAAAGAAATATGTAGGAATATGAAAGTTCTCCTTGTTCTCGATGATTTGGAAAATGGTTCCCTCCTCAAGGAGTTTGTAGGAGCTAAGCTTGATTGGTTTGGTTCTGGAAGTAGAATAATTGTCACCTCAAAACAAAGAAGCATTCTTCAAGGCTTTGTTGATCAAGGGATGGCTCGTACTTACGATGTTAGTCCAATGGATGATAATCGAGCTTTCAACCTTTTCAGGCAGTATGCAATGGGATTGAGTTATAAACTACATCGTTATGATGAAAATGCAAACACAATAGTCAAGGCTGCGGAGGGACTTCCCTTACTTGTCAAAGTTTTCGGTTCTTTTTTGCATGGTAAAGGACAAGAAGAATGGATTAAATTCAAAGATCTCATGCAACTATTTCAGGAAGATTACCAGAAGATTCTGGGCATAATTTATGAAGCATTAGACGAAAAGCAAAAGCAGATGTATCTTGATATTGCATGTTTTCTCCCAGATGTGGATTGTAGGATTGCCTCATATATGTGGCATCATTATGATCGTCCTTATGATGAGATCGAGGTCCTTTGTCGTAGGTCCCTAATAAAAATGGAAGAAAATAAAATAGGCATGCACAGCATGCTAAGGTGCCTTGCCAGGAAGATAGTTTATCAAGGTTTTCGTGATCCAGGAGCATGTGTTAGATTCTACGTTCCTGCCATAGCCCACGACACAAAGAAGAGGAAAAGGGTATGCCAGGGAAAAAAAGTAGCATGCAGGCCTTACTTCTCTTTTGATTTTCCTTGAAAAGGTTTCACGTATGAAGCATTTTCTTTACCTAATGATCCATAGTAATTATTTCATCGTCTGAAGACTTCCGCATGTTTGTCTACTTGACTTTAGTGGTCCATCGTGTAGGGAACAGACCACCTTAACACTATTATGGTAGGCTTTGAGATCCTACCGAGCACGACATTTCTCAGCTTGGGTCGCGCCAATATTGGTGGAAGATTTGCAGATGCCTTATTGAACGTTCGGTGGCTTCACTGGCAAGGGTGCCCTCCAGATTTTGAAGCAAACAGCATTCATTTAGGGAACCTAGTTATTCTTGATCTTTCGTGGAGTAAGGTTACAGAATCCTGGGGAGGTTGGAAAGGAATTAAGGTGGGTTTATATCTCATTTGTTTTTGTGTTTGTGTTAGCCCTCAAGTAAATTGAGAGTTCTACGCCATCTGAACATTTTCCGTTGTTTTGCAGATGGAGCGGTTGAAAGTCATGAATCTTACAGGTTGTGTGGACTTATTAGTTAGCCCCAGCTTCTCTTGTTACCCAAATTTGGAGATATTGATCATGGAGCGATGTTCTCGATTGGTTCATTTGGATCCTTCAATTAATGATCTGAAGCTCTTGGTTTCCCTGAATATGAGGTTTTGCTCCGAACTTTACATGTTGCCGGTGGAAATGGATGGGATGAATGCTTTGAGAGATCTCCTAATTGATGGCACTTCCATTCGAGAACTTCCTGAGTCGATAGGTAGATTGGTTCGACTGCAAATTCTTAGTGCCACTAATTGCTCCTCTTTGGTTCGTGTCCCTGGTTCAGTTTGTGAACTTAAATCTCTTTCAGTGCTAGCCTTGGATAATGCAAAAATTCTTGAACTCCCCGAGTCAATTGGAGACTTGGAGGAACTTAGATGCCTGTCTTTGAGGGATTGTCGTGAGCTAGGAAAGCTTCCGGAATCCATTGGCAAGTTGGAAGACTCACTAGTAGAGTTGGATATCTCGGGTACAGGTATATCAAGATTGCCCGATTCAACTAAAAACCTACGGATTTTGAAAGTGCTGAAGATGGATTCTTGTTTCATAAGAGAATTTCCTTGTGACATAGGACAGTTGATAAACTTGGAAGTAGTCCATGCCTCCTGGTGCAGGAGTTTGGAGGGAGTCATTCCTAGTGATATTTCGAAACTACATCGTCTCAGAGAACTGAGGCTTCGGGGTACACGTATATCCAGCCTTCCATCAGAAATCCAGTTCATGTCAAGTCTTCAGACTCTGGACATGCTACACTGCCACATTCTCAAAAAGTTGCCTACCCTGCCCTCTAACCTAATTAACCTATATGTCGATCCCAACTTGATGCCATAAATGTAAGAATCTTAAAAATTCTGCCATAGGTGGTATTTATCGTGATAAATAATACAATGTTAGTTTGGATTAGATGGTTGAATTTTGTCATTTGTTGTGCTTAGTAGGGTTGATTAGATTATGCCACCCGCAATTTCAAATTTGTGTCGACCTACTCTTCTCAATCGAATATGTTTCCCTCTTTCTTCTATTTTTCTATATTTCATATCAATGTGATGGATATGTATCAATTTAGCGTAGTCATGAATTTCAATGACTGTCGGGAATATATTCATAGAAACTATGATAATCTAACAATACACATGCACTGAATAAGAGAAAATGCTCATGTCATTGAAAATTAACCATAGAGAAATGCTCTGTGTTGTTGGAAATTTGCCTTATTGTCCATATTAGTCGGGAATTACTTTTTTGAACTTTGACGACGTCGCACGATAACACCCCCCAAATTTTGAGAAGTTACATATTATCCTCTTGTGCTTTGGCTTTTGTTTTTGTCACTAATTTTTTTCCCTCTGCATAGCAGATTAAAAGTTCCCTACAAAGGGACTTGCGCTTTTTTTCTTGTCTAGAATCATCACTACTACATGGTGAATGAAGTTAAGAAAAAAGAAAGGATGTATGACTAATGAAGTTAACAACAATTCAGCTGAGTTTGTCAAGAAACATAATTTAATCCAATCTCAAATAACACTTGATAGTTATGTAGACTAGAAAAATTAGCCGTTGCGACAAATATCAAAGTTCAAGAGTTAACCTGTAACTTTTCAGAGTTTGGGGTCCATTGTGCGACATTATCAGAGTTTAGGGGAAAAAATTTGTGACATTTTAAAATTTGGGAGCTATTGCAAAATAATGCCTAATTATCCCTGATATTATAATTGTTTGGGCTTCTTGAAATGATTCACCTGTACAAATGTCGGATTGTACCTAGTACTCCTCGGGCCATCATCAAGATAAAAAGTACAAAAAATTCAAATTGGTTGGATCTGTTAACTTCTCAAAGAATAAAGTTAGCGCTACTTATCTATCAAAACACTTAACATTATAGCATACATACATTGAACAACTTAAATTTTAAAAGAATTGGCAATGATCTCCGAACTATAAATTTTCTAGCAATAAAGTAGATGAACAATATTGAGTCCAAACGTATTTCAGTTTCAGCTTCATATCTTTTCTTGAGTATCTCATCAACAATTGTTGCAATTATTTGTATGGAAAATGCTCATGTCGTCGGAAATTAACGATAGAAATTATGCTTTATGTCGTTGAAATTAACCGTATTGTACATATTAGTTGCTGAAGAAAAGCAATTAACCTCATGAATGACCACCACTTTCTTATTGAAACATTTCATTTATAAATGTTTTGTTTATTAGATCCACATCATACATATGGGTCGGTTTACACCCCAGTTCATTTGTGCTTGAAACCCGAACCGGGACTACACATCCAAGTTACACTAGCTGCGTTCTTTTATCCACAGCTCATGTGTTTTGTTGTGTAGATCATTAGCATGTTTGTTTTCGGTCAATGTTTCAATTTGAACTAAGGATGATCTATTCTAGGGGTGTCAAACGAGTGGGTCCGGTCGGGTAAAAAATGGTCCGACCTATATTGACCCATTCAACCCGTTTTGATCCATATTCATGAAGTGTAAATCTAATGACCTATATCTGATCCGACTCAACTCTTATTTTAAAAGACTTTAATATCAAATCCAATTTAGGAAAAAACTTGTTTCTTATAAATTTTTTAAAATATTTATATTGCTAAAATGCTTCAATGCAATATAAAATAAGTGAACAATATTTATAATTTAAAAAAATCATTTTTAAATAATTTTATATATCTTTATTTTCTTTTTCTTTTTTTTAAAAAGAAATTTTTAATTTTTTTCCTTCTTCTTCGGCCGGCTGCGAGTGAGCTCGGTCAAATTGGCGAGAAGCTCGTCGGACGAGCTCGAGCTCGCCGATTCAGACGAGCTGGAGCTCGCCCGGCAAGCTCGAAACTTGCCTATGGCCGGTCGCTAGGAATCAGAAAAATAAAAAAAAGAAAAGGAAAAAAAGAAAAAGAAAAAAATGAAAAGAAAAGAAAAAGAAAATTAAAAAATCGATTTTAAAAAAATAATTTTTTTTTTCAAATGACATGTTACGATAATATGATTCACTTAAGCTATTTACCCTACAAGGCTACAAGTTAATAACTTACATGGGTTGAATATGGGTTTACAAACCCATATTCGACCCATATAAACTTGAGCTTTAATGTTGCAAACCCAATTTGACCTGTTTTTAAAATTTCAAGTGATCCATATTCAACCTAGTGGGCCTACTAAAAATGAGTTAATAAATGGGTTTCTGACCCATATTGCCACCTCTAATCTATTCCTTGGATGGGTTGGTTCCCCGCCCAGTGATACCAGACTTTCTAGAGTGAATCTCGGCCTAAAAGACAAAAACTTGCCCAAACTTAAAAACCACATTGCATCTCAGCATGAAAGGGTTGGTCTTGCTTCCTTTTGCAGAATTTTCTTTGCATATCGCTTTCACTGGTACACACAAAGATGTGTAGAGGCAAATCAAGCAATAAAAAGATAAAAGACTGACTCTGTTGATATCTAAATTTTGGCTAGCAATTTATTGCATAAAAAAATTAGGGATTGATCCCAATTTCTAAACAAAACTATTATTAATTTGCATGTTATAAGCATTATCATTTAATAGTAATAAGCCCACATAAACTGCATTGTAATTGGATTGACTTTAGTGGGGAGGTTTTGACCTTAATTAGAATTAATTGGACTAAGTCCGCGAGAGCATGAATTTCAGCCAAGCCCATTGAATACTCGCCATAACCGAAAATTGCATGTGCATTGCTCATGGGATGTGCTGAATTAAGAAATTGGATCATTTGATTAAACTTGGAAAGCAATAAGGCATATTCACTACGAATTTCAGCTAGTACCTATCAAGGAAATTGAGAAAGATACTCTTTATTTCTTATGGAAGTTTTTTTTTCGGTCGAACTTATGGAAGTTAATGGGTCCATTATTTTGGTGAAATATAAAAAAAGGCGAGCAAGGGGCGAGATGGGCAAGATAATAAATACTGAGTGAAGCTGGGAAAGAAAAGAAATTAAAAAAAAAACGAAAACATTTGTGCAAGCTGCAAGGTAAAGCAGCTGGAATTAGCTGGCCATGAATCCGCATGGATAGTAGGTGAATCTGTGAGTTGAGGTGACAAATATTACACGGCCTAATTCCAAAAAAAATACAAACTTTTGATCGAGTGACAATTCTGACCTTAATATTTTTTGTCTCCTAAAAAATCACTAATGTTCACTTAAATCCCAAATCTAGCCTCCCTTAATTTAAAATCATTGATTTCCAACTTGTCTGTTCCACCTCAACAATAAATTCAAGTGGCTTGCTGACTGGATTTCAAATACTATTCATTATCTTCTTTTCTGAGCCATAGCTTGAAAAATAACGATAAAACTGTTCATCGTCTCCTTCACTTCACCAGCAAATAAAAAGATCTCTCTGTGGTTAGACTCCGCCTTTTTGTCGTAATATGAAGCGCTGGACCACGACTCGTTGAGAGACGCAATGGACGAGATCCACCAAGCTCACGACCAGAAATTTTTTTTTTCTAACAAGGGTCACTTAAAATAGAGAGTTAACGGGATGTGAAATTTGAGATAAGGGTGAAAGTTAGTGATTTTTTATGAAATAAAAAAAATTGAGATCAGAATTGTCACTCGACTTAAAGTTTGTGTTTTTTTTTTTGAATTAGCCCAAAATTTCATGCCACCTCCGGAGAAGATCGCTACTTAAGTTTCGAAGCCTTCCAGCAGAGCTTATGGGTCGGCATCATCTGACCGCCATTATGCTTGTCCGTACGAGACGTGTGACAATGCTTATATTCATGAGTAAAGCTCAAACTTCACTTGAGAAGAGAGCATCCCTAGTTCATGGCTGATGAGAATGCAGAGAATGCTACTCGCAATGCGGGTCATGAAATGGACGAAGCTAGTGATAAAGACAATTACGTAGGAGAAGCGTGCCAACGGGTAAGCAGACAGAAACCGAACTTGAGGACGCCACCAGCAAAGTCCGCTAAGAGGAAAGGTGCTGCCAGCCCTACTCCCGTCACATTGAATGTGGTGAAGAAACCGTGGAGAAGACAAACGCAGAAGAGAGTGAAGAAACGGAAGAGGACCAAGAGAATGTGGAGGGATGCAGACATGCAGAAAACAACGAGGATGACGATGAAGAGACCGAATATAAAGATTAATGAGCTTTTCTGCAGCAACATATATGTATTTAGAGGAAGGATTGGGTTGATGAGGAGACAAGAATATCAAGATTGATGCGGCCATTACTCCACTGAAGCTCGATTGCGCTCTCTCTCCATTACTCGCGGTTCCTCGATGAGCCGCATTCGTATGTATCAAAACAAATCTGCAGCAGCATTATCCTGGGAATTTTTCAACTTAAATGAGTAGTGCAGAGATACCTAGTTATGAAACCCGTCTAACGGCCATCAGCAAAATTCGTTTTCGTGGACGGTCCAAGTGATTATTCTGGATAAAAAATGAAAGCTAGGGTTCTGGTACTCTTCCAAGAACTATATAAGTTGAGAAACAATACAAGGACATGCTATTTATTTGCAGGAAGCATTTCATAGACAAAATTATATATATTTATTCATGGCCAAATTCATGCTAATTGACTGATTTTCTTAATCTTCTTCTGGTGAAATAAGGAAAAGTCACATTATAATGAACTTAGATCATCATGTCCATGCAACGCATATGTTTTTCAAAAATTTTAGCCAACTAAAAAATTTGAACATCCAGTTGTCTTTTAAGCACAATGTATCAAACAACAAGGAAAATTGCCCGAAAAGTCCTACATTTATTGTATTTTTACCAATTCAGTCATAAACATGTCTTAAACATTTTCACCTATTGACAATTGAGTCCCTTCAGCCAATTTTGGCCGAAATTTATTGACGTGGACAATTTTTAATAATATTTTAATGATTTTTCAATTATTTATTTATTATTTTTTCCTTTTTATGTTTCTTTTCTTTTCTTCCTTTCTTCCTCCTCTAGCTGGTCGTCGGCCGTTGGTGGACAACCGGCCGAAGGCGAGCTTCGCTAGAGGCTAGACCTCGTCTCTGGCGACCGGCTAGAGAAGGAAGAAGAAAAGAAAAAAAAAAGAAAAAAAAGAAAAAAAATAAATGAAAAAAAATTAAAATATTATTAAAAATTGTTCACGTCAGCGCCGGCAGTCCTACGTGGTATGGCCGGCATCCATGTTAGCTATTTTTAGCCAAAATTGACCGAATGGACTCAATTGACAAAGTGTGAAAATGTTTATTACTCAATTGGCAGAATTAAAAGGTTTATGACTAAATTGACAAAACTGCGAAAGATTTATGACTTTTTGGATCATTTTTGCATTAAACAACATGAATCCACTGCTAATCAGAAGAATTTTGCATAATTTAGCTTAATTATTTCACTTTAAAACATAATGTACTTAAGAGCCGCATACGGAGCGTGCGGGCATGTAAGTAATTGGAATAAAAATCGCTGGATGAGATAAGTCCCTTGCCTAGCACATGGAGGGAATTGCGTTTAAAAGTTTGAAAATAAAATACACTAAACTCTTGTTAGTTAAATCGACCGTAATACTACCGTCAGAAAGTTAGTTTCTTTTCTATTTTGCGTGTAAACTCAAACTTTAATACAATTACACTTTTGAATGACCTAACGCATATCGATCTATAATCAGATAATTACATATAGAATTTTCATATTTAGTTAAATTAAATCAATCATTGATAGAAAACAAATATAATCATTTTCAAGTTTATTTGAAATAGCAAATTGCCACTTTTTGGTAATTTAAGTGCAACAACATTCACACACATATTATACCTTTGAAGATTTTGTGTTGAATGGTCGAATTTAGAACCTTTAATTATAGCGCTAAAATTGACTAAAAAAGAACAAAACAAAGACTATTCTCTACTATTGATCCAGGATTATTTTAAGACAAAACTATTCTTAAAAACACATATTAGCTCTAATACCAAAAAGAAAAAAAAAACTAATTCACCAACTCTCTACCAAAATAAAAACATAAAAGAATAAAAAAATGAAAACATTGTGGGTTAAGTCACATCATCCTATTACTAATCCCACCCCGTTTATTTTTATTTATTGTCTACTCATATTCTTTAACCTGGGCAATTCCTACTCAGCGAGCAAACTTTTTGTGGTCAATTTCCGATATTCGAAAATCATAAACAAGCAAGCAATTTGATAATAGTTGACTTTGGCAAATTGGAGAGTAGAATCCTATAGCAATGGAGGATCGAGAAAGGTGTCACATCTCAAGTATAGGGGAAATGATAAGATCGTCCTCCTAATCAAAAAGGCACAGCCTCCTATATACAACCAGCATTAATTTGTTACCACAATATATATTCATCTATATATCCGACAAAATAGCAAGCTAGTTATAAGATTAGAGTTCACAATTCCACCCAAAAGAATGTATACATCTCCAGTGACTAACAAACTAAACCCAACGATACAACTATATCTATTTATACCAAAATCCAACTCCTACAAGCTCTCGTCCTATTCGCCGGTAATTGTGGAACCTGAAAAAGAATTGAGATATATGGTATGAGTAATCCACCACTCAGTAAGTGGTACAAATCTTTTCTAAGTACAGTGAACATCCACTATATATATTTATAAATGGTACCAGAAACATATTTGTGAAAAATTAGTATATAAGAAAATGTACAAGATCAAAAAATTAGTTATATCACTTCAACAAAACTTTATACATCTCAGAAACTACTCATTTGATCAACAATATCAAAACAAACATTAATATTCCAGTCCAATGATAAATGTGGTGCTCAACATGACTTGATTACATTTTTTGAAGAAGATTTCGGACTTGAATCAATCCATAGGACTCAGTTGCATTCTGTACATAAAGTTTAGAACTCCCTCAACTGAGAGATGGGCTTGAGTCTCTTGGGCCTAATTCTATTTTTTTCTTTTTAAATTGGCCCATTCGTTACCAAAGGAACTAAAACTCATTCTGACAACCTTGAAGTTGTCTTTGAGAGCAATCAAACAAATTGTGAAATCTTTCACCGAGTGAAACAGAAACTAACACGTACGCGCAAAATTGCCGTAAATTGACATACACACACGAGACAATAAAAAGTGTGCGAGTGTGATGGCCAAAGCAAAGAAAGAAAAATGTAAATTGAAAATTCAGAACAGAAGCGAAAATTTTTATTTATTCCCCTAATAGCCCTTATTGCAGGAAGATCAGTTGACATGCATGATCAGTTACAAATATGAGTTAAAGGGATTGGAGCGCTAACTTACTTTGTAGCCAAACCTCATCCACCAATAACTTTCTTGCTTCTGTCTGACCGCCACCTTGCTTCAATGTCTGACTCATCATCGTCATGCTGATGTGATGTCCATCAGCCTGGAACTGGGTCGCAGTCTCACATCCGTTGAACTGATGCCGTGCCCGTTTAGTAGTTTCAACTTTCAAGATGAGAACACCGTCATCTAATCTGAGGTTTTGGAGATTAGAGTATCCACGAACAGTCACAATCAGCTGAGAAATATCAGTATATACTAGAAGTAAGACCCTCAGAGAGGCTAATCCCGTAATGTCACATTCCCCTGTCAAACTTTTGCAGCCTGAGAAATCTATCTCTTCTAACCTCTCTAGATTCTTAATGCCTCCAGGAAATTCTCTTATAAAAGTGCGAGGCGTCTTTAATACTTTCAAGTTTCTCAAATCCTTGACAGATGAAGGTAGTTTGTCAACTACGGCATCTGAAAGATCCATGACTTGCAGCTCCCCGAGGCTTCCGATGGAATCTGGCAATTTCCACAAGCTCCTGCAGTTTCTCAGTGATAGTGTCTGTAAATTCTCCAGCAATCCGATAGAACAAGGGAGCTCACTCAGTTCAGTGTCGTCCAATGCTAGGTATGAAAGAGATTTCAAGTTACCAATTGAATCGGATAGAGACAAGGATTTACAATTGCAAGCACTCAGAATTTCAAGCTTCCCATATGAACCCTCAGGGAAATCAATGGCTTTAATGGAAGTTCCATCGATGTAAAGCTCTTTCAAAGCTACCAAGGAAGCTATATCTTCTGGCAACTCTTGCACAAAGCTACAGAACTTGATATTCAAAGAAACTAAGTTCCTTAGCTTGCTAATAGATCTGCCAACACCCGGTAATGTAGCACAATATTCCAGGTTTAGTCTCTCTAAGTTTGTGGGTGCATGGGAAACTGGAGATTCAGCTAGCCAACCACAATGTTTAAGGATCAAAACTTTCAAGTTTTTGGCCTTCTGCAAAACAAGAAAATATAAAAGCCTTGTTTACAACAGGGTATCGTCAAATATGAAGCAAAAAAATGCACATTTATGCCATCATACCTTCATAATTTGTCTCCAGCACCGCCAAGTTCTGGAGGTACTCCAAGACAGATCAAGAACGACCATGTCTGACAGATCTAAGGCAAGTAGACTGGAGATATTGTGGCACCATTGCCATTCAAGCCACTTTAATCGTGGAAGGAAAAGATCCTCTCTGGAGTTCTTTGCACTCTGCTTATTTCCTTTAATAATAGCGTGGTTCATTCTAAGATACCTAAGATTCGAGAAATTACGAAAAAATCTGCGTTCAGGTAATGAACGGGAGTTGTCGAACGTGGCACCAAGGGCTTCAACAGCATCGACCTGCCAATCGTGGAAAAATGGTAAAAGGAGAAAGTGAAATAGAAGTGCATTCACAATCATCTCTGAAAACAGAATTATGTAATCAAAAGAAGTACTCTAATTCAAACTATAAAAGAGATTTTCTTGTCTTCAAAATATACCTTCCTTTCATTCAATACTCGTTCAATATCCTCCCGATTCCATAGCCTGCTACGCTTGAAAGGTTTCCTTGGATTTTCCTCCTTGACAATCTCCCTCCCAAGGACTTTTAGTTGATTATTCATCCACAATTCATTATTTTCTCTGGTTTTTACCAAAGACATGTTATGAAGTTCGTCAACTCCTCTATAAGGATCATATTTACAAGCTTCCCACATGTAACATGGTATTGTCTTGTCCTTTCCCATAAAAAAACATGCTGTATCGAGAAATATCTGTTGGGCATTGTCCTCTAAAGCTTTATATCTCCTCTTCAAAATTCTTTTGACTTCCTTATTGAAAGGCTCTCGCTTCAATCTATCCAATGCCTCCTCCCAAAACTTTATGGGCTTTCCATATAAAGATGAACCAACAACCTGAATAACAGAAGGAAGCCCTTCAGTAGCCAAACTAATGTCCTCTGCCAAAGAGGAGAATTCCTCTGGAAGAGGTTTTCCTCTAAGAGCATACTTACAGAACAGTTGAAAAGCATGTCCATCATTCATTTGCTTCAGCTCGTATTTTTCAACGATGATGTCATCACAAATTTTGACAACACTGCTTCTTCTGGAGGCGTCAGGCCTCTGGCTTCCAGTTTCAAGCACACTTAGACGAGCAGTTTCTGGAGATTCATAGTTTTCAACCGGCACCTGACTATATCTGTCAACAAGATTGCTTCTCATGGAGATAATGATGATCCTACTTCCTGGGCCAAACCAACTTGGATCTCTGGCTAACGAATCGATTTGCTCAAAATCACTAACATCGTCAAGGACAATGAGAACCCTCAGATTTCTAAATTTGTACTTGATAAATGCGGTACCTTCGGCAGAAGATTTGAGTGTACATCTTTTCTTTTGGAGGTCACTAATTAAATCTTCTTGGAGAGATAGGAGCCTCCTTTCCTCAAACTTTCCATGGACATCGTTAAGGAAGCTGCAGCATCCTTCAAAGAGATGATGGATTTTGTTGTAGACAATCTTTGCAAGAGTCGACTTACCGATCCCTGAAAGGCCCGATATCTCAACCACACATTTTCCCGTCAGCATTTGCCCTTCAACCACTCGTCCATTTTCATAGTGAACACCAAGTTTTCTCATCATCTCTTGCACATGGTGATCCATTCCCACTAAATGTTCTGTCACATCTAACTCATCCTTCCTCAACAGCCGGCGGATCGTCAAAACGACCTCCTTTATGAGTTCAGGATCCCTGCCAAACGGGAAAAGAAGGAAAGAGGAAGATGTGAAAAGGAACAAATAGTCGTTTACTAGATCACTAGTGTTGGGGAAGTAGAAAAGCATCGAAATCTTGATTTCAAATTACCCGTGCTGGAATTTCTCCAATTCCCATCCTCGTTTTCCTGAAACACTCTGCAGAGCCTCCTTCCACTTGTTTATAGTCGCTGACTCCACCCCCTGGGCCGCATGGTTGCAGAAGGACTGCTGATAACTCTCCTGCTGTTTGCCGACCACTGAAGGGGTGACGTCGTAGAAAATGGGCATGATTGTCCCGCGACACTCCACCATTTTCTCCACCTCCTTCAGGCAACTCCTACTGGAAGCGAAATCTTTGGAGAAGATGGGTATGCATATCTCCGACTGCCTGATGACTTGGAAGATCTTTTCCATGATCTCTTCTCCGATCTCAATCCCCTCGCGGTCGATAAATGCATCGATCCCTGAATCAGTGAGGCTTTGGTGGAGACATCCAAGGAAGTTGCTCCGAACATCTCCTCCTCTGAAACTGAGGAAGACTTGGTAGCGGCTGACGTTCGGCCATCTAGAAGGTGGAAGAGACGAGTGATTAGTGCAGACATCCATGAGTTAGAAGCTCGAGAAGAAGCTCAAAGACCAGGTCTTTGTTCGGACAGGGGACGACAGGAAGATCGCTCGAGGAAGAGAACAAGCTTTACGGATCTGCTCCGATCTACGGAGCTTACAGACCAACGCTATGGAATCTTGACTTGGATCAGGTCGCCGATTATTCAATATTCCCATTAAAATTCAATTATATTTCGCAATATTTCATTTGTGGTCCAGCATTTCATGTGTAGGGAAAATACTCATTCATAATAAAATATATTACTTTTAGAAAAATCTACTTTTCAATAGTGCGATAAAACAGGGAAAATTCTAAATAAGAACCTGCAGTTAAACGGTTTTCTAAAAAATGACTCAAAGTAGACATTATCTCAATTAAAGGCCTGAAGTATCTAATTTAGAGTGCGTTTGTTTTACGGAAAATATAACGTTTTTGGAAAATATTTTCCAGAAAATTTTTTTTTAGGAAAAAAGTTAGTTTTACTTTATTTGGTGATATATAATGGAAAATATTTTATGGTGTTTGGATCTCATTTGAAAAATGTTTGGAAAATAATTTCAATCCCATTATTTTATCTCAGTCAAAAAAAATTTCTAATTTTTAAATGTTTTTATTTTTAAAAATAAAAAAAAAAAAAGAAAGAAAAGAATAAAATATTAAAAAAATAAAGGAAAGCAATTCCGGAAAGTATTTTCACCTTCTTAGATTAAGAAATTTACTTTTCTAATTTTATACATGAATATTTTCCTTGATCGAAAAGTGTTTTCAGTTGACTAATCATTTTCGGTGAACAAAACGGGTAAAACTCCGGAAAACGGATTCTCAGAAAATACTTTCCCTGAAACAAACGCACCCTTAGTCTCAAATGAGGATCCGAACCCCAAATCATATTCAAAGTCAGGGGCATTTTCGTCTAAGCACTTTTTTCTTTATTTTTCTTTTTCATTCTTCATTTTCACTTTCTCTTTATTGTGTTTTCTTTTTTTCTCCTTTTTCTTTCTTCATCTTCCTCACACCTCCTTCTTCGTCACCTTCATCTGTTCATTCCCCACACTTCCAGCAACGTGAACTTGGCAAAGTCGCTCCAAAATGGAGCTTATTCGGAAACCTCGCCTCGCAATCATGAGCAGGGACCAAATTCTCCTGTCCACGCTTCCTCACATATCCCTGTGCGCCACTACCGCTACCACTAAAGCTACAATGACCGTTTTGATAATCATAGCTGCAACTAGGGTTTTGGTGGATACTGTAATTCCCTTTGTCGTCGTCGTCATCATCATCGCTGAATCCGCCGCCGCCTGACGTTGCGCCTGGTGACGGGGTTGGGCGGGTTAGGAAGTGTCTGGCCGTGAGAGGATCTTTTGAAGCGCTTCCTCCAGTAGGGATCCGCCATGGACGAGCTCACAGGATCGCCTTCTGCATCGTCCATTGTTTCATACCACGATGAAGAAAGAAAAAGGAGAAAAACAGAGTGAAGAAAACAAAACAAAGAGAAAGTGATAATGAAGAAAGAGAAAGAAAAATAAAGAAAAAAGTGCTCGGACGAAAATGCCCCTGACTTTGAATAAGATTTTTATTTGAGACAATATTAACTTTGGGTTATCTTCTTAGAAAACGGCTCCACTTCGAGTTCTTATTTGAAATTTTCCCTGATAAAAATGAAGATTAATCAATCAAACCAAATAAGGGTTAATTTACACGCTAAGAAAAACCAAAAACAAGAGAAATAAAATTAAAAAGAAAAAGTTAAAAAAAACCAAAAAAATATTTTTAAAATTGAAAATTATAAAAAAAAAAACAGCTCAATAGTGGCGGACACCGCTGACTCTAGCAGGAATCCTCGACCACTGTCGAAGCAATGATAAGGGTTGCCAACCCTTGTCCACCGTTGGAGAGGGGCCTCTCTAGCGGCGGTTTATGGTGGTGGGTAGAGCCCAACCACTACTTAGCCACCTCTCGCTCTCTCTCATTTTTCTGCACTTTTATAAAAATGATCCAATATTATTGATTTTAAGAAAGGATAATTCAAGTAATTAATTGCAATGAAAAGTATACATAGAGCAAATAAAGTTTACTATGAACAAATAAGGTTAGTACAACGATTCTTTATTATTTGAAATTACTTGCGAAAAATGATAAGATTTGTCATGACAAAGTAAAGTTTACTACGAGCAAGTAATTTTTACATACAAGTAACTCGCTTTATTTTTTACCAACGTGGTGCACCATAAAATAAATTAAGTTATACTAATTACACACTTTATTTTTTACCAACGTGGTGTACCATAAAATAAATTAAGTTATACTAATTATACTTTTGGTTATGAGTAAGATTTTAAACTGCTTCATCTAAAATCTCGTGTGGACCTCGGCATCCCTCGAACGTAAAACACATAGATGGTTTTCCTTCCTTTTATAGAAGATAAAGATTAAAAGAGAATTAGGAGGCTTGGTATGCAGTCACCGGCACGTTAAAATAATTTTACTACACAAGAATTTCATTTTATTTTTGAAAACAAAGATTTACTAAAATGAGGTCTATTCACAACAAATAAGCTTTTGACCTGTTGCTTGAAAGTAAATGACCGGACCTTTACCCGTACACAGAAGCTCCTTCCGCCAAATACTCCTTTGTCTCAAATACCCCTCATTTCATAGATGTGTATCAATCAGCCTTTTAAATCGAACGTCGAGGTAAAAAGTTGCTGATCGTGTCATGTGCCAACAGATTCTTGATCGTCGAATAGCCTGTGTGACATTTGGCAAGCCGAGAATACCAAGCTAGCTTTCTTTTTAACGATTATTTTTAAAAATAGAATGACGAATAGTATCCTCACAATAGATCGCACTACGCCAAATCTAGTTCGGACATCCAGTCTCTCGAACGATGCATACAAAACACTTCTAACGACTGGTTTTTAGCCTGTCATGGCTTCATCATAAGAGCGGCATCAGCTCCGATCAGTTTGTGTACGAAAGGCCAACCCTACCATTAGAGTTCCTTTAAAATGATATTCATTCTACTCTGGAATTCCTAGCACAAACACCCTAACACAACTCTCACAAACCAGTTTATCATTCCTTTTGCATCACTCACTCTTCACCCTAATGTCACAAAACTCTACTCTTTAGCTTAAAAGAGTATGGGAGAATTCGGCCAGTGACACATGGATATTCAGGAGCGCAATTTCAATCAATGTCGAGAAAGAGTATTTTTTTTTTATGTCGATTGCACGGTTGACATGTTGCAATTGTCCAATCTTACGACTCCTGTGATATGTATCTCATCTTACGTGACACTTAATTTTAGAGTCAATCACTTTTAATTAACATGTTATTGCCACGTTATGTAACTGTACATGCGGTATGACATTTATATAAAATATCTTCTCTAATAGAGAAGCATTATCAAATGAAGATCGTACATCAAATAATTTTGGTTTTTCTCTCTCTTGTTTGTGGTTTTATATTTAATTTTATATTGGACTATCATGATAGAATATTCTAAATTAGTTTCACTTTTAACATATTTACCCTAAAATATTTTTTGACCCACATATATTCTGAAAGTGTACCATTTGTCCTAAATGTATTTTCCGCTAGCATTCCTTCCAATTTTGCCATCAATCATCTTATAGAGCCTTGCATAATAGAGGTGATCATTTGGCGGATCCAAGCAAGGTTACGTCGTAAATTTTGCCCAACTCACTCATCATAAAACTTTCATAGACATATCTTTGGTCCGGGACATGCTTGACTCTTGCCCCACCAGGCTGGGTTGGGCATTTCCTCACAAAATGCACTTTTCCAAACCCGCCTCATAAAGTTATCGTGCCTATATGACTCGAGACGGACATGGATGCGCCCATGGACCGCCATGTCCATTATCAAGACTAGTTAATCCCATCCCACCTCACTATTGCGCTAAAAATTAGATACCATCGAGAAAGGATGTTTGAAAATATCTTCCGGTCCCTAGACATAAATGAGCTTACTCTACGTTTGGTACGATGGAACGGAATAAGAGAGAAGTGTGATAAAGGAAGGAATGGATTGGAATAGATATTACTATGTTTACTTGTTATGAATGAATGAGGTGGAAAGAATATGGCGATTCCTTTGGTTGTGTTTGAAAAATTTTCGATTAGAAAGAAATCATATTAAAATGTATAAAATGTCCTCAAAATATGTTATGTTGAACTGTGAGGAAGAAAATAAAGGTTGCACTTAAACTTATTTTGCACAATTTTGTATTTCGCTAAGCAATGGGGTGGTCATTCCAAGGATGGATACATTGGTATGGCCGCTCCCCTTGTCTGGTGGTGATGAAACTAGAAATTCAGCTTCAATCCTTGCAACCTTCCTTTCTTGAGTGACCTCGAATCCTTCAAAAAAGTCTCTTGGGGAAACTCTCTGGAGACTCCGACGCTCAAGTCAACGTATGAAGAGAAAGCTGAGAATGCTCTAATTGAGCTCTGGGAAGATGAATCTTCTTAATAATTAAACAAATTGAACGATTGTGGATCCAACAACTTTTGACTTCTGTTAAAAGAAATAATAAGGAAGCAAAATAGAAAGTCAGTGGTTGATATGATGACTTGAAAGCAAGGAATTGTGATATGCCTTATCGTGTTCATAAAACAAACTTGTTCAGATGAGTCGATTCATTATATTTGTTGGATCTACCTATTGATAGAATATTTAAATATCAAACAACGCTTTCATCTAACAATTTAAATTTTTAGAAGAGTCCATAGTAATTCCACAAAATCTTATATGATATAAGAGGAGGAGGTATCATATTCGAATCTTGTCTCGTATTTTACTAATCTATAATCAATCTTTTTCCATTAGTTGAGATCCCCTAAATTTTATATGTGAGGCTCGTTTCTGGAAAGATAAGAAATGACTCTCAAAGATAAGAGTTAGGGAATATCATGGAACAAAGAAAAACAAATATAGTCAAATAATCCATTAGATAGGAAAATAATCCACGTTACGAATACTATAAACTAACCCTTGATTGAGTAATTTGGTGAGAGTGAAAGCCTTTCTTAGGTAGAATCAGCCTCGAATATGGTACCCTATCCGTCCTAGGGTTGGAACTGAATCCAAAATCGATCGAAACCGAGTTAGCCCTAAAAATAAATGGCTCAATTACAC